TCTAGTTAATATTCACCTCATGCCATGTGAAGGCTGGGATCTAATCTGCCAAAGCTGTCATCTGCAGCCCTGAGTGATGTTTTCAAGGGGAAAAAAAAAACCCAACCAAAACAACAAAGATCCAAAGCCCTTTAGAGCTGTTTCCTTGCAGTCTTCTAGACACAAGTGCTTTCATTGCATTTTAAAAGCGCATCTAATGCCGCAGTGTCTCAGCAGCGCACATCAATATCTGAGAAACAGAGCAATGGGCCCAGAAGGGATTCTCTGTTCTCCACCCAGCTTTGGATTAGCCAAGATGTTTCAAAATGAAATTTGCTCAGATGAGCAAAGTAAAACCGTGGCGAGACTTGTGAAAAGGAAAGCCTAGATGCATAGAGTTTGAGTTATTAACTCCATGCACACAGCTGCTTTTGTTCTTCCAGAACCAGTCACTGTGAAAAATCTGGTTTGTTTTTTTTTCTGTGCCAGAAACACCCTGCTTGTAAAGATCGCTCTGTGTTTACTGCCTGCATGTTTTGTGGAGTCAGGTTTGATCCTTTACACTCAAGAAGGGAGGGAGGTGCAGTGAAGTGGACAGTTCTGGGCATACACAATGTTCCCTGATGTGGCTTTGCCAAGACAGCTCAGTTGTAATCCACAGCTGCTTGACCACAGTACGAGGCTGTGATCTAGCTCTCCAGACAAATGCTGCCTTCGCCTGGTACCCTTCTCCTACCCCACTCTGAATTGCCATCCAGTGTTACTTTTTGAGGGCAAAGCCACGTGCTCCCTGGGTTCAGGGATGCAGATGGTGGCACTTGCATTAGAACATGTAGTTCTCCTGCAATGCTGAATTAAGGAATCCTCCAGACTTCTGAAAAACAAGAATTAATAACATCCAAAAATTCTGCATCTGTCAAAATACCACAGAATGGGTGTTGATAGCCAAAAAAGCCTATGTCTGTGGAAAGGAGCATTTCTTAAACCATTACTCTTTACACTATAAAAGCCAATTTAATAAGGAAGTGAAGCTGGAACTATACAATACTCCAGGATGTATTTTGCTCATCAAGTGCAAGTGATCTATACAACCATAAAATGGTGCTAAAACTGAATTCCCATTAGGATATAAGGGACTGACAGTTGTGCGGTAAAGTCATACTGGTCCCTGACGTGGAAATCTTACCCTCCAGGTTTTGAGTTTTTAATTTTAAAACCCCCAGTAAATCCCACAGGAGCTTGACTTCCCTGTTTGGTTAGGCTGCCAACCCAAGCAGGGTCAGCTGCAAGGTGGGGTGCAGGCTGTTGACTGGAAGCTGCAGACCTGAGACAGGATTTTGCAGGAAACGAGAATGGAACCCTTTGCTTCCAGTGTGTCAAGTGTCACCTGGGAAGTTGAAATAGTCTCTTTGGGTGGCTGCACAGCTGACACTGCTAACCCTTCACTGTACTAGGCAGGTAGCTGCTGTCCAGAACCCACTCACAGGGGTACAGGGGGCAAACTGCCTCCCAGCATCACCTTTGACAGTTTAATCGAGCAGAGAAACCAGAGATCCTGAGCGGGGTCTCTCCTCCTTGCTTCAGCTGCTGTTGCATTGAGTCCACTGTGCTGCAATAAGCTTTCTCCTGTGTTTCTGGATGGACTCTGCTTCTGTCCTGGGGTGTTCAGCCGATAATAGCACGTGGCCTGCCTTCCCTCCCAGACTGAGTGCCAGGTGCTGTATTACAGTCACGTCTGTCAGAAGCTCTTTAGAGGAATGGCTAAACAGTATAAACAGCAGCGTGCGGTGTCCTGTGCAAGGCACACTGCACCTTTGCAGCAGTCATAGCCCTGTGTTGAACACATCAGTGTTTAATGTGGTAGTGGAAGCAGGTCGGACCTCTGGCTTTGGTGGGGAGAGGGTCTGTGCTTACAGAGGTCTAGAAGAACATAGCTGTGCATATCTGGAAGCTCTTGCATTTGATGCTTTGCTGACTTATTCTATTTGTGAATATTTAGTATCTGGTTGGGCTCTATAGCATGAATAGGATAAGACCATTCCT